AACAACAACAACAACAAGCCCTGCCCTGCCCATCAGGCTGCATGTTAGTTGGGCAGTCTGGGACACTGGGCTCAAGCTTAGGATGAGGGCAGTAGTGTTGTAGCCTGCCTGTTAGCCATAGCCTCTTAGAGGGGAAGGACTTTGTATGGCAGCAAAAGGGATAATGGTGGGCTCTCTTTTCCCAAGATCTATAACATGTGCCCAGGCCCCCTTCCTCCAAGACAAGAGAGGTGTGATTGACTCCAGGGGTGGGCTGGGATTTTGAAGGATGGAAGTGGTCCATTGACAGTCTCCTTCCCCTTGCTGTCCCTAGACTATCTTTCATTCTTCTCAGTGCTTTCTGTCATGCAAACTGCTCTCCTTATGCTCGGAGGAATAGCTGGCAGTGACAGAAAGGAGATTACAGGCTATATTTCTGCCTTGAAGCATTCTCCAGGCTGTTGGGAAACAAATGGAATCAGGCAGGTTGTTAGTTCTGGGAAGGAGAAATCTGTGTATGTTGTAGCCCTGGAGCAGTGCTCTGCACAGTGGCATGCTGGTGTCACCTCTGATCTTCCTTCCTCTCTCAAATGTGTATTTTATTAATCCCTGAGTGGGGAGTAGGGCAGACTTCTCTTCCTCATACTGGTGTGATTCTTCTCTGAGGAGTTCTGGTTCCTTGATGCAGTCTTGGAGTAGTGGTGGGCAGGGGTACACATAGAGCAGAAAGACAAAAAGCATGTGGCTGCAGCAGGTCATTGGGAGGGCATTCTGGCCCATCAGTTCCAGAAAGAACATGATTAGAGGCAGAGATTAAGGACATACCAGACAAGCAAAGTCAGACCCAGACACTGTCCCCAGGGCCTGCTACTGGGGATTTTGACAAAAAAAGGAAGAGGTAGAGGAGGGGAAGGTGAGGCCACCATCCTGAAGCAGCATCATATACACATATATTACAACTATTTCCTTACCAGCTAGCTTCACTGATAGACTGTGAGCACCTTGAAGACAGGGAGACTGCGTGTGCGTGTGCATGTGCATGTATGTGTGTCATCTTGTATCCCTTCTCGGCCCCAGCACATGGTAGATCTCATACAGGCAGGCTAAATAGAAGCAATTTGGACCTGCCCAGAAGAAGACAAAGCTACTCCAGAACAGATCTCTAATCTGCCAAGCTGACTTCAGACACCTGGAAAATGAGGGGGGCAGGGCTGATATCACCTAAGCTGCTGCTTTTCTTTTGAACAGCTCAGGGCACATCACTTTCATCTGCTTCAGGGAGCCCAATATAGATTGAGCACTTATTACTCTAAGCATGAGGCCATTGGTGGTTCAGTCTCACCTTCCATGCAGGGAACCTAGGTTCAATTCCCAGCCAATGTACTTCATGAACAGCCATCACCCATTTGTCAGTGGATGTTTGTATGTTGCTGTGGTGATGAACAGGTTTCAGCAGAACGTCCAGACTAAGACAAACTGGGAAGAAAGTCCTGCCTATATACTTCCAAAAATCAGCCAGTGAAAACCCTATGGATCACAACAGCCCAATCTCAACCAGTCATGGGGATGGTGCCGGACCAGGCAGCCTCTACTTCATGGCACATGGGGTTGCCATAAGTCAAGTGCTCATTTGTTGACAGCTAACACCACCACCACTCCGAGCAATCTCCTGAGATTGAGAAGAAATGCAAGAGCAGAAAGGAACAAAGAGGTTTGAATTATCTGAGTCAGAAGACATGCCCCTTGCTGGCCACATTCTTATGCAAGCCATGTGCTTGACTTTCCTAAACCTCATTATCCATATCTGTAAAATGGGAATAACTATCTGGCAAGGGAAAGATAGCTCCTACACATCTGTAGAACATAAATGGGTGTTACCTTCCAGCAGGACAATTTGGTAATGCTGTAAAAATTCTTTCAAATGAACATACCCTCAGACTTTATAGTTCCACATCTAGAAATTTATCTTAAGAAAATAATCAAGTCTGGAGGAAAGTCCAGTGCTGAGGAATGTACATTATTTATTGATAGTGGCAAACACTGGAAATAATCTAAATAACAAATGATAGAAATTTGGCTAACCATAATAATTCACAAATGGAATATCATACAACCATTAAAATTTTAGTATATATTTCCCTGACATGCAAAGTTATTTGTGTCATGTTAAATGAAAGGCTTGCTGCATGCAAAACAGTATGCAAAGTATGATACTTTAAGAAAGAAGAGTTTTACTTTAAATTCTAACTGTGGTTATCTTTGTTTTGCAGGATTAACCAATAACCAATTGCCGTGGGTTGATTTTGACTCATGGTGACCCCGTGTGTCTCAGAATAGAACTGTGCTGCATAGGACTTTTAATGGCTGATTTTTTAAAAGTAGATCCCAAGGCAACTCTGGGTGGACTTGAACTGCCAACATTTTGGTTAGCAGTCAAGCCTTTCGAACTACTCAGAGACTCCCTTGTAAAATTACAACTAACTTAAATTTCTTCCTTCTTTTTATCTATAGTCTTTGCAATAAGCATGCATTACATTGTAAAGATAATAAAAATAAGTTATTAAATAAAATAGCTATCTCTAAAGGTTGTTTTAAGGGTTAAAGAATATATTACACATGAAATTGCTTCATAAACTGAAAAATAATTATACAAAATATAAAACAGACTCTCAACCTATGAAGAGCTTACAGTTTGGAAAGAGAGATGAAAGATGTTTAGAGTAGTTGTAGCATAAAGCAGAATGTGCTAAGAAATTTAAGAGCATTATAAACAGCATGTACTTGGAAACACAGAGGAAGTTGAAATTACTTCTGGCCATGGAGGTTGATTTGAACATTGAAGACTGGTTAGGATTTTGTCAGGTAGTAATACAGAATTGGTGCAGCATCGGAAATGAGAAATTGTGGAACGAGTTTGGAGAATGGAAAGTGGTTGGTTTGGATGGAGGATGCAGAGCCTGAAGGTGAAGAGCAGATGAGTTTAGAAAGCAGTTAGTGGCCAGACAGCAGGCACCTTGAACTCTGTACTTGGTGTAATACAACCGACAAACATTTGTTGAGTGCCTTCTGCATCTTAGTTGTTTATTTGGAGCACAGTAGGAAGTCAGTGACAATCTGGGGCAGGTGGTGACACAACTGTAAGCCTGTTGAGGGCAGTGAGGTTCTCATTGCTGCCTTCCCGGGACATAAAATAGACTCTCGATGGGTGCACCATGTAGGCATCTGCCTTTCTGGAAGCTCAGTCTGGAAGCATCAGTGTGCAGACATGCTGGAGAGGTTGGTAGTGAGCAGGACTCTGGCAATCATGGCCACAAAGATGGGCCCTCTCTAGATTTATGTCATTGATAGGGAAGGGATGGAAAGTGGGGAAGTGAGAGCTGTGTGAAAAGAGGTGGGGCTCAGCAGAGGGAGGAATCGAACTTCTCTCGTAGATTTGCTCCTAGGTGGCATGGAACTAGAGGATCATTCACAGAATTTGAAGAAAGGTTATTTGGAGGTAGAACAGGTTGGGGTGAGGTAGGGGGAAGAGGGGAGGAGAAATTTGGAATCCTCTCTCAGTTGGTCCTGATCTCTTAGCCTCTTCCCTGTGGCTGCCCCAAGGCAGGCCATGGCCAGGGAGGCCTGAGACATCAGCTGGTTTGTAAGGGTCTACCTATCCCTCATCTCCTTAGTCTCTCCTCCCTGGAGGCAGGTCTAGGGGATGAGAGAGGGGGTTCTGTTTCAATCTGGAGAGCTTTTGTTAATGGAAATTCACTAACTAGTCTGCCTACCCTTGGAGCTTCTCTCAACTCAGCCCATCCTCCTAGCACTCACTGGCTCCCTCTCTCCTGCGACTGGGAATTCATACCTCTTTTAGGATCCTGGACGCTGTCTCTCTGCCACCCTCATCTACAACAGAGCACACACACACACACACACCCTGGAAGGGACACTGGAAAGTCTTCTTGTTCAAGCAAATGTCTAGATTTCCATGTCCCTGCTGCAGCTCCCAGCCTGGGCTGCTGTTCAGCCCCTCCTGTTGTCATGTCACTAGTTAATTACATTCTTTACTGAGGTGCAAATGTGTTTTTGCAGGAAGACTAAGATGGTGTTAACTAGGAAGAAACTGTTGATGTTAAAGATGTAGTCACCTCTGGTGTAGGGCTGGGACTCTTGGCTGGAGGACCTCCCCAGTGTCACCAAGAAATTGCAGCCCAGACACCTGAGTAGCCTGACAGTGGCCCTGCCATCAGGACTCTAAGCCCAGCTCAGTTGGAGATATTTGACCTTGATCAAATGAGCAACTTGATACAAAAGGAAAAATTGATGTGACTGTTTAGGCAGTATGAGGCCAGAACTTATGACAAGATGACCACCCAACCTCAATTTCCAGACACTCTCATCTGCTTTGAATATGGAAAAACAAAATTAATATGTTTAATTTGAAAAAATATACAACAGGTTATGCAGCTAAGGCCACTTTTAGGCTACAGGTTGTCCTCCATTGTTAATTTCTGCTCTTGGTCCATTCCCTCTGGACTCTTCTTCCCTGACACCCTCAGCCCTACCTTGGTCAGTGTCTCTCCAGCCCCAGGCAAAGCCTGCAGATCCCAGGAAAGGATCTGACATTATCTGCATAACTGAAAGAGCTACAATTACCACCCCTTCCTCTTAAGTGGTCAGCTATGGCCTTCCCAATGCCCAGAAATCACTCTATCAAGACACACCTACACTTCAGGGAGAGGGCAGTGTGTAAGCCTGGTGTCAGGAAGCCAAATAAGTAACACTGTGGCTCTTCATTGGTAGTGAGAGTGGGTCTAAATGGCAGTTACCCTGAAGAGAGCTGATAAATATGATAGAAGTATCTGTGGAGGAAATGGATTTTTTTCCCTATAGCAACCTAGGGAGGAGGGGAAGAGCACAGAAGGGTTGGTGGTGAACAGAGCCCCCAAGCCCCTTTTATCTGGTCACCCCTACACCTCTAGCCATCCCTGCTGAGATCTTGTCTGCCCTTTTTTTTTTTCTTTTCTTTTTTTACACAGGTGCTTGGGCTCTGGCTGAGAGAAAGATTTTCTGGCCCAATTGGGAGTGAGAATAGGGGAGGGAGTCTCCTGAGGACCATCCCAGAGGCCGCCAGGATCACCCAAACAGTAAGAAATGCTTCTCTCTCCTTCAACACATAGTTTAATCCCCAGGTAGATTAAGTTTTCTTCTGACAGCCTCTAGAACCCACTCATAATGTTAACTCCCATTAAGCATATACAACCTTAGAAAGCAAAATATTGCATTATCTTTTTCATGTCTTTGTTTTATCTCTTCAGCTTAAATACAGGGGTTATACTTATGCATGGATATTTCTCTTTCCTTGCATGTATTCTGTGAACAATAACTTTTTGGTAGTATACATGGATGGGGCATTGTTAAAACTCATGATGATGATGACATTTGTACAACCTTCTGGAGCAAGCGTTGTTGAGTTACCATCAAGCTGATTCTAACTCATGGCAGCCCAGTGTGTGAAGAGTAGAACTGCTCCATAGGGTTTTCAAGGCTATGACCTTTCAGAAGCAAATGGCCAAGGCTGTCTTCTAAGAAGCCTCCGAGTGTGTTCAAACCATCAACTTTTTGGCTGGTGTTTAATCATTTGCACCACTCAGGAACTCTAGGACAAACACTACCACCTAAGAATCACCTACAGGTGCTCATTTAAAATGCAGTTCATGGACCTCAGAGCCAGAGGTTCTGATTTCATGGGTCTTGGGTAAGATTCAGGAATCTACACCATGGAAGTTTTAGATAAACATTGGGGAAACTACACCTACCATGTTTCTGATGAACTCTGAGAAACAGTTCTTTAGAATTTATAAAGCATTTTTAATAATCTCATTTAATCCTCTAATCAGATAGAATTTTTTTAATCCCCATAAATAACTTCATGATCTTACAGTCTCAGTATAGGCAGGTATTTGGAATCCAGTGATCCAAAACAATCCTTTTTCTTTCTAGTATGCCATTGTAAGGGCTGGATCTATTATAATAAGATTGGGCCTCCAAGTCCAAGGACCTTGCCCAGGACTTTGTAAGTTTCCCTATGTCTTAGGATCACCATGACCTTAGAGTTTATCAGCCTTTATTTTAGGAGCAGTTCTAGACTAAGTTGGACTATGAAGGAAGGCTTGGTGATCTAGTTCCAAAAATTAGCCAATGAAAGCTCTGAATTACAACGGTCTGATACACAACTGATCATGGGGATGATGCAGCATTGGGCAGAGTTTCATTCTGTTGTACATGGAGTCATCATGAGTCAGAAAACAACTCCACAGTAGCTAACACCAACAACAGTCATTGCTACCACCACTGTCTGTCAGTTTATCCTATTGTGGTGGCTTGCATATTGCTATGATTCTAGAAGCTATGTCCTCAGTATCTCAAACACCAGCAGAGTCACCCATGGTGGACAGGTTTCAGTGGAGCTTCCAGACTAAGACAGACTAGGAAGAAAGACCTGATGATCTACTTCCAAAAATCAACCAGTGAAAACCCTGTGGATCCCAACAGAACACTGTTCAACTTACTTGCTTTGGACCCATCATAATAGTGAGGGTGATGTAGGACCAAGCAGTTTCTTTCTGTAGTACACAGAGTTGACTTAATAGCAGCTACCAGTAACAATCATTGCTGACAAAAGTCTGGTTTTCCTGAAGGGAGGTAGAGAGAGAGAACCACAGGGTTAATGTTCCCAGGCCTACCTCCCCACACAGGTAGATAATAAAGTCATAACTATTAGGAAAGGACCACATGTCTGAGGATGACAGAACTGACCAGTAATGATTGTCCTGCCTGCTGTCTCCTCTGCCTGTGTGGAAAGCATGCTAGAGTATGTTGTACCTCTTGAGGTGGAAGCTGGAAGAAAGGCCCATCTAGAGGGGTCAAGACTAAGTATGCTGTCGTTGTTGATAGGTGCTCTCAAGTAATCTCTAACTCATAGCAACCCTATGCACAGCAAAACAAAAGATACCCTGCCACACACTATCCTCACAATTCTTGCTATGCTTAAGCCCATCATTGTAGTCACTGTGTCAATCCATCTCACTGATGATTAAGTATGGGTAGGAGCAATGCTCATTTGGGGGTTAACAATCTTGTCAACAGCATGTGGGGCCTGCGTCCACAGGGATGTCGAAGGGACTCTACTATAGACCATAGCTGAGATGAGAGCTTGGAGAAGGTAGGGGAAGGTGCAAAAAAGAACAAGGGTTATATAGATTCCCCGTAAAACAGTTTGGAAGTGTTTGTTGCCCAAGTCCCATGGCTTTCTCTGTGATTGAAAATAGAACTAAGTTACCTGGAAGAGTTCAATTTATCTCTAGGCTAAGGCTGTGGATTGCCATCAGTCACAATCAACCTGCTGGCAACTAACAAGATAGTAAGGAGCTCTGGTGGGGCTGTGGTTAAAGCATTGGGTTGCTGACCAAAAGGTGAGACAGATGAGACAGTCTGCTTCTGTAAAGATTTACAGCCTTGGAGAGTCTATGGGGAAGTTTTAGTCTGTCCTATAGGGTTGCTATGAGTTGGAATTGACTCTATGGCGATGGGTTTTGGATTTAACAAGACTGTGAATGCTGGTGTCCAAACAATCCACACTGTGCCTGGGAGAATGGAGCTGCCTCTGCTATCACCTATAGGGTAGACTATGGGGAAGGATGGAAATAGGTTGACTGACTGCTAACTCCTTCTGTGGGTTGTGTCTTTCTGTAGAATGGAAGGCTTCCATGAATGGAATAGAGGCAACTTCAAATATCACACCCTCCTCCCTGGCACACAAATATACATACACCCACTGACCACTGAACAGTCTTGACAAGTGAGTGACAGTGTGGTCTGTTCTGGGGTCCAAATAGAGTTGACATGGTTGCTTGGATGGGTGCAATTGGCAAGGACAATTTTTGCAACGAATGCTGGAAGTGTGGCAATCAGAGAAGCCGCCAGCTGTCTCACTTAAATTCTTAGCTCTCTCACTCTCTTTTTTTTTTTTTTTAAATCATTTTGCTTACATAATCCACCCCCTTTTTATTTTCTAATTCTCTCCTTGCAAAGCTGGCACCAGAGGGGAAGGGCTGGGGTGGAGGGGGTAGCAATTACACATCAGTTTGGGGAGCATTTACATTTTGCAATTACAATTTAAAAATAAGTCTCGTTAATGATCTCCACGTGTAAACGACAAACCCTAACTGACATACATACTCTCTTGGGCCTGCCTGCCTCCCCCTGAAGTCAGAAGCTCAGTGGAGGCAGATGTACCAGGGGAGGCATAGGAGGAGGCTGGGGCCAGCATCTGAGGGGTGGCAAGAGCAATTAATTGTGCCTTTGAGATTAATAGAAGACAGACCTGGGGCAGAGAACCTGGAATCCAAGAATTCTAGACTTCCACCTCCTCTCCTTATCTCACCCTCATGCTCAGTCCTAGCCACTTCTTCCCAAGCCCTAACACAGCACAAATCAGTGTACAGAGCTCTAGGGAAAAGAAGACCCAACTGTGGATATTTTCCAAAGTGGGAATTTTAAAGTCCTGTTGGGAAAAGGCAAATCCTAGTATCCAAGACCATTCCAATGTACCTGGATATTCATGGATTGGGAAAAGGGGCTAATTCTAAATGCAGGTTCATGAAGGGAACGGGATTAGTTGTGGCTTAGCTCAGGAAAATAATTTCTCCTCTTGCCTATTTGTTGTTGTTAGTTGCCATAGCATGTGCTCCAACTCATGGCAACCCCGTGTACAACTGAGTGAAACATTGCCCAGTCCTACACCATCATGACCATTGGTGTGCTCAAACTCATTGTTGTAGCCGCTGTGGATTTTAAGTGCCTTCCAACCTAAGGGGCTCATCTTCCAGCACTATATCAGACAATATTCTGTTGTGATCCATAGGATTTTCATTGGCTAATTTTTGGAAGTAGATCACCAGGCCTTTCTTCGTAGTCTGTCTTAGTCTGGAAGCTCCACTGAAACCTGTTCAGCCTGCATGACCCTGCTGGTATTTGAAATACCATCTGCACAGCTTCCAGCATCACAACAACATGAAAGCTACTCTAGTACGACACATTGACAGATGGATGATGGTCTTGTCAATTAGTTATCCAAAGCTTCTGATTCCTTGAGAAGTGCAAAGAGCAGGGACTTGAGAATCAGACCACCTAGACTCAGTTCTAGCTTTACCATTTGCTGGCTGTAGGATTTGGGACAGGTTATATAACTTAATTTTTGTAACTGACCTTCTCTTTATATAATTGGGATAATCCTATTTACCTCATAGGGCTTCTGTGAAGATTAAATGAGATAATGTATGAGAAAGCACTCACACAAAGTCTGATATATTGTAAATGCTCAATAAATGTCAGTTCCTTTTCAACCCTGCTTCCTTCCTGCCCATAGGAAATCTGCTTCTTTTCCAACTACTGTGGACACTAAGATAGGATGATCTGTTCTGATTTCTCCAGGTCTCCCCTCAAAGTCAAGCCATCTGTATCCTGAGCATCAGGCCCTGAAACAGAAACAACCCTCTCCATCACACACACACTCTCTCTCTGTCTCACACACACACACATAAAATTATCATCATCTTCCCATAGGATCCCTTGCACGGTCTTGACATCAGGCTTACAAGCCAGCCCCCAATTTCTCACCAGCTCTACTCCTGACTGGCTTTACAAGCCCAGTTCTCTTTTTTCTGGATACTAATTCACCTGTGTGACTTTTTATCAGCCACTGCCCCTCTCTGGGCCCCAGTATGTTACTTATTATGAAATGAGAAAGGTGGACTAGGAGCCCTCTGAGGTGGCTTTCAGTCCTGACATCCTGAAATTCTCAGATTCACATTCCCTGTTTGGCTTCTCTCTACCAAGTGCTTATGTATAAAGTTTGTTGTTCTTTTTTTTGGAGGGGTGGGGCTTAAAATATAACCATTTATTTAGGTCATAGTTCCACTAGATAGTTCTTCTGGGCTTGGCTTAGCTGATTTATCTGGGCTCATTCATGGAAAGACAGTATAACATTAGAAAAACCTATCAATATATTAAATTACATTAACAAGAAAATAAATAAATAAATAATCATCAAAATAGATTTCAAAGGCACCTGGTAAAATTTGAC